CAAAGCTACACAGAGAAACCCTGTCTCAAAAAAAAAAAAAAGAAAAAATAAATAAACAAACCCGGAACACAGCAGGGCAGGGGTGGGGTGGGGAAGGGGTGGGTTGGAGAGATGGCTCAGCAGTTAAGAGCACTGACTGCTTTTCCAAAGTACCCGAGTTCAATTCCCAGCACCCACATGGCAGCTGTCTGTAACTCCAGTTCCAGGGGATCAAACACACCCTTACACAGACATTACATGTACGCAAAACACCAATGTATATGAAACAAAAATAAATAAATCGTTGGGCGTTGGTGGCGCATGCCTTTAATCCCAGCACTCAGGAGGCAGAGGCAGGCAGATCTCTGTGAGTTTGAGGCCAGCCTGGTCTAAAGAGGGAGATCCAGGACAGGCACCAAAACAACACAGAGAAACCCTGTCTTGAAAAACCAGAATAAATAAATAAATAAATAAATAAATAAATAAATAAATAAATAAATAAAGCCTGCCCTCGTGCAGCTTACACTAAATTTGGGGGAGCCAGGCGATGAACAGAAAGCATAAGTGATCGTGAAATGCTAGAGAAAAAGTCATGAGAGAACCTCAGAGGACCGTAAGTAATGGAGAGGGTGCTCTGAAGGGGGATGCCTGCCGTCTAGGAAAAAAAATGGTCATGAAAAGACTGAGCCAAGGCCCAGAGAGGCTATGACACCAGCACACAGACCACAATAAAGAACATTCCAGAGACAGGGAGGCATGAGTGCAAAAGACCTGACCATGCACCAAGTGCCATTCCTCTCCATATTGGGGGGTTCTGCACCCTCAACTATAAATTCCAACAAGATCCAAACAAAACAACATGAGGAGGGAAATGTGACTGCACTGAAACTCAAATAGAATTGTTTTCTCGTCACATTCCCTCTGCAGCACAGGATAGCATCTACACAGCATTCCCCTGTATTAGGTATTATGCATGAGCAAGGTGATTTAATATACAGGAAGATGCTGTAGTTTGTGTGCAAACACTCCACCATTGTATGACGGGACTCGAACATCTGCAGATTTGGGAGTCTTCAAGACAGTCTCTTGGAGACAACAGAGGGACGACAGTACCAGGGCAGAGTTAGAAGCCAGCCCTGACAGAGGAAGAGTATAGCTAGAGTCTTCCTGCCTTGCCCACAGTCAGGACAAATCTTTGTCACCTGCCAGTCCCACAGCCGCTCAGACCCAACCAAGTAAACACAGAGACTTATATTGCTTACAAACTGTATGGCCGTGGCAGGCTTCTTGCTAACTGTTCTTACAGCTTAAATTAATCCATTTCCATAAATCTATACCTTGCCACGTGGCTGGTGGCTTACCGGCGTCTTCACATGCTACTGGTCATGGCGGCGGCTGGCAGTGTCTCTCTGCCTCAGCCTTCCGCTTCCCAGAATTCTCCTCTCTCCTTGTCCCACCTACTTCCTGCCTGGCCACTGGCCAATCAGTGTTTTATTTATTGACCAAT